GCAACATCCTTGTAAATCCCCTCTGCACTCTTTCCAGTTTAATAACATCCTTCCTATTGCAAGGTGACCATAACTGAACACAATACTCCAAGCACAAAAACAAAGTTGCTGGAAAAGCTCAGCAGGTCTGGCAGCATCTTGAAGGAAAGAACAGAATTAACGTTTCAGGTCTGGTGACCCTTCCTCAGAAGAATACTCCAAGTGCAACTTCACCAACATCCTGTACAACTGCACCATAACATCCCAACTTCTATACTCAATGCCCTGAATGATGAAGGCCAGAGTTACAAAAGCCTTCTTCAATGCCCTGTCTACTGTGACTCCGCTTTCAGAGAACCATGCACCTGAACTCCAAGATCCCCCTGTTCACTACACTCCTTAAGGCCCTAACATTCACCATGAAACTCCTACCTTGATTTAACTTTGCAAAATGCAACACCTCACACTTATCTATATTAAATTCTGTTTGCCACTTCTCAGCCCACTTCCCCAGCAGATCAAGATCCTGCTGCAATTTCTGATAACCTTCTTCACTATCCATGGTACTGCCTATTTTAGTGTCATCCGCAAACTTACTTATTATGCGTTGTACATTCTCATCCAAATGATTGATATTAATACAAACAGCAACGGGACTAGCACTGATACCCCTGAGGCACACAACTAGTTACAGTCCTCCAGTCTAACAAGCATCCTTCCACTATTACTCCTTACTTCCTACCGTCAAGCCACTGTGTATCCAATCTGCCAGCTCCCCTGGATTCCATGCAACCTAACCTTGCAGAGCGGCCGACCATGTGGAAACTTATCAAACCTTCCCGGTCATTCATCAAAAGAACTCTAACAAATTTGAGAGGCACGATCTCCCACGCATGAAGCCATGCTGATTACTCCTAAAGAAACCCTGTCTTTCTAAATGCATGTATATCTTATCCCTCAGAATCTTTTCAAGTAACTTACCTATCACAGATGTTAAGCTTACTGGTCTATAATTCCCAGGTTTTTCTTTGCAGCCCTTCTTGATTAAGGGTACAATATTCACTACCCTTCCGGGGCCTCACCCGCTAATGATGATGCAAATATATTAGTCAGGGCCCCTGCAATTTCTTCTCCAGCCACTTGCAGGGTTCTTGGATATATCTGATCAGGCCCAGGAGATTTATCTTCCTTCATACATCCTAATGCTTCCAACACCACCTTTACTGTGATATGGGCTGTACCCAAGATATCACCCCTAATTTCCCCAAGTTCCCAAGTCTTCATGTCTTTCTCCACGGTAAACACAGAGGAGAAATATTCATTGAGGACAAAGTGCAGGTCATTGAATAAGTCCAATTTGGTGTTAGTTGGTTGGCATAGAAAGGGCCTGTATGACTGTGACTCTATCTTTGACCAAAACAGTTGCACAAGCACAGCACGTCCACGTGATGATGCATTTTCGTGAAATACAATCATACAATCCCGACAGTGCAGCAAGAGGCCATTCAGGCCATCAACTCTACTCCAACCCAAAACCCAAATCCGCACCCTATGTCGGAGGGCCCTACTTAACATGACTAAACCAGCTAGTCTGTACATCCCTCGACACAAGGGACACTAGACATCTTTGGACTGTGGAAGGAGCATTTGGCAGAAACCCACACAGACAGTCACACAATGCTGGACTCAACACGGTCCATGGTGCTGTGGAGCAGCACTGCCAACGAGCGTGTCACTACGCTTTCCGATGAGAAAGAGAATTTTCCTCAATATCTTTGTGGGAGGGGGGGAGAGACAGACAGAGCGGAGCAGCGAGAGGGCGAGAGCGGGGCAGCGAGAGGGCGAGAGGGCGAGAGGCACACAGAGAGACTGCGAGAGCGTGACAGAGGGGCCGTGAGAGCGAGGCAGCAAGAGGACAGAGACAGACAGGCAGGCAGGCTCAGCGCGAGAGCAGGGCGCAGAGAAAGCGGGAGAGACAGACAGGCAGACTCAGACACAGCGAGAAAGAGAGAGCGAGAGACACAGCGAAAGAAAGAGAGAGAGACGCAGCCAGAGAGAGAGAGAGAGAGAGAGACGCAGCCAGAGAGAGAGAGAGAGAGACGCAGCCAGAGAGAGAGAGACGGAGAGAGAGAGACGCAGCCAGAGAGAGAGAGA